GCTGCAAATGGACTTTGCTTTTTCATTTGAAATTTGGCAGTCACTGTGCGTTCGCGAAAGCGAAAATGCAAATGGTAATGCAGGATTTTCAATTGCATTTGGATTATGTCACAATTTATGCGTCCACATATTGAAAACGCAATTGAAAATACAATTTGCTATTCTATTTGAAAATTGTCCGTAAAATCGTTCCATACACAAGGGCATACAAGGTCCGAAACATGTTTTTTTTTCCAAACCACAAAAAAAATAAATAAATAAATAAAAATAATACAAAACAGAGTTCACAGAAGACACATTCAAGATGAAAGCAAATACTAGTTGTAAATAGTAATGGGTCTTACGAACTTGAATATTGATGTGGTATTCATAGAACACAAACATTACATTTGAATAGAAACATTACATTCAGATTGACACTTACCCCTTTTTTTCCAGGGATGGCACACTCCCAATTCATCAGGTTCATAGTTCCATCAGGATTTATATATATATATATATATATATAAATATAAATAAATCCTGTGGGTGGCTGCAAAGGTTTCAAAATGTCAGACTATAGAAACTTTCTTTAATCTGTGGTCTCATTTGTGTGAGCAAATACACCCCAACAGTTTCAATAGTGACGTCTCAGCAGAATAAATTATAAATGGTGACATCTTAAAATAAGTTTCTCCTCCACAGATGGAACATACTCCCCTTCATTAACCCCTTCAGTGCTCGTCCTCCGAAGGTTAATACGAAAACTCGAAATTATTTAATTTTCTAAAAATGTCATTGATTGGAAACTGATACATATACTCTAAATCTGCTGCATCTCAAACACTTCAGTGGAACAAACCCCTCTCTCTTTCTGAATTTCTGTAGAACAGCTGCACATCTATGATCGGAAACGTTGCATACTTACAAAAGGATGGTCTTTCCGCCAAGCCTTCCGTTCTTGTGCGAGACGACTTAATGCTATACCAGACATGACTTGTGGCCCACAAAATGATTGAAAATCTGGAAAACATGGACAATGTTTCTCTTAAATAAGATGCATGTATCTGTAAAGCTATGCACAGTCAGTGTGCAATTTCAAAAACTGCATTTTGTCAATAATCAACTTTATATCAAGCCTTTATAAGTTATTACAAGACCGAATATTGGGGAGGGGAAAAAAAAAAAAAAAAAAACTCCAAATAATATTTCAGAATTCTGGCCTTTAATAAAATAAATAAAATTGAAAATTGTGTTCATCCAATTGGTTGAGACTTCCATAAAAGTTAAACCTTAAAACCACACTGGGTTCACACCAATGAAGAAGTGTCACCATAGTGTCTCAAATATTGAGAGCTTTTTAGTTTCTATTTTATAAGAACATGCAGCAGTGAAATTGTAGCAATAGTGATATGCAACAATACACCGCTGTTTAGTGCAGAATGATTGTACATTTCACAATCTCCATTAATAGATGATCGGACTAAATCATACAAAAGGCTTTTCTCAACATTAGGTTACCCTTTATGTACAGTATGTGAACTTTACTTTCTAATTTTACCAGTAGTTATTAATAGGTTGTAATACACTCACATAACATATCAACCATTTAGTAGGTTTCCCGATTTAATACAATTCTAAAACCTGGTCCTCTAGGGTTTCTAAAAGGAGGAATAGTGCAGCTCTCCCTTCAATGCAATGACATGAAAAACACCCAAACCGCAAAAAGGTTTCCTGATTAATAACCTTAAAGTTTTTATACTCATCACGAGTCAAAAAAAAAAATAAAATAAAAAAAAACTAATCAGAGCTGGGCATGATTTACAATTCTTACACTTTCAATGACAACCAAACTACTGTAAGAAAATAGTTTAAAGGTTAAGTGGAAAAGGAAGAGAAATACATGAGCACTATGCAATAACACCATGTTCTCAAACTGGGGTATAATAGTCCAACCCAAATAACATGCCATTTTTAAATATCTTCAGAGGCTGTCGATGTTATTAATGCCAAAATTAAACAGGAGAAGCAATATATAATATATATATATAATTTTTTTTTTCTTCAGTATTGCGACATACAGCATAATAGATTATCTAAACAGTAATATGTAAGACGGGACTTGGTTCTATCCATTGGTTGTTGATTAAGATATTGAAATGTGGGCACTGCACTCAAATGAATGCAAGTCTGTCATTTCACCAGAAGCTCAAGGCCCAGAACATATGCACATGCGCAAAAAAAAAAA